GAAACAAATCAAGAAAAAGAAATAACAAATATTAGGAATTGGTAAATAAGTTAAATAACTACAACTTTTCAGAAACAAAATCGAAAGGCGACATATAAAAAATGCACGCAAAGAAGAACTGTGTGGCAACACCAGCAAAGTTTTGAGACGATTTTGCGACGACTGCTAGAAAGGGGTGCTCACAGTTTGATGCTAAAGGTGTCTCAAAATGTAGACGTCTACATTTTCAGACACTATTTGGAACGAACTCTGAACACCCCAACTATTTGGAACGAACTGTGAACACCCCAACTAATGAGGTGCTAAAGTTGGTTGGGTGTCTAGTGGGGACATAAAATAAGATATTTTGGAAATCCGGCACCACTCAAAAGGTATAACCTTTGTTTATTAACAGATAATTATCACAAATTATCACTAATTTCTGCTGGAAACAGTTTCTTAACCCTAAAAACTAGCAGAAACTAGCAGCTCTCTCTCGGTCGTACCCTCTTTTTGTTTTGGCGAGAAATATTTTCAATAGTCAAATACACCGATCAGCTGTTTACTTGCTAGCAGTGTTGCCGTTTTGGTTACTTTTAACCAATTTCGGTTATTATTTTCTTGCCTGTGAAGTTGTTAAGATCCTTCCCATTTTGGTTATTTTTAAACATTTACTGTAGTTTTTAATTTTTTTATACATACAATAATTAAATCTTTGAAGAATAGTATAAACAAATACATTTATTCTGCTCAATATGGTTATTTAAATAAAGTTATTACTACTAAAATGGCAACTCAAGATTCGACTTAGGGCCGGTTGTTCAATGTCTGATTAGCACAAATCGGAGGTAGAAGCTCCGGTTAGATACAACGACTGCTTCATCGATCACATGTTATATGCATGATGTCGAAATCGTCGATAATGATGTTTAACCGGCAAGTAGTGATAACCAGACATTGAACAACCGGCCCTTATTCCAATAATAATCATTTGTTTAGATATGCAAAAGAACATGTAAAAGTTCGAGGGTGCAACTATCGGTTCGTGTCTTTAATAAATCGTGGTGAATTAATCGCCAAGTTTTTGAAACGGCCCGGCAGTTACACCATTTCTATGCATGATCCAACTACACAAGATCTGACAAGATGAAGCAAAAGAAAAAAGTAATTTTCTGGCTGACGGTTGTAATTTCGGCGCCATGTTATTTTCTGAGAAAAGTAAAGAAAGAATACGAAGACGAAGCATAAAGAAAAAATGCAAGCAATGTTGTGCACATGTTTGTGCTAACCAGTTTATTATTTTTGTACGTGTTTTTGCATCCAATCACCGAGCACTTCATTTTAATGACATTTGCACTAAAAATCACTAAAAAATCACTGAAATAAACCACCGACAAAATACACATAAAGAAAGAAGCAAAACAGAAATAGCAAACTTCAAAATTACGGACGTCACACACTTTTTTCGCATTTGCTATTACAAATGGCTGCTTCTCAACCGGTCAGATCTGTTCTAATTGGTTCATGATTTCTATGGCGCGTATTCATAGTCCAGCAACTAATAGGCTGTTTTTGCTTACGCGTAAAGGCACATTTAGCGCATTTAGCTCTAAATGCTACTCTAAATGTACATTTATCCATACAAAATTCGTCACCTAAATGCAACTAAATGCAACTCCATTTTTGCATTAAGAATCTAAATGCTAAAAGCAACCCTGTGATCTTCCAAAATTTCCACGATTCGAACATGGTTTAAAGAGAAAAAGTGGCAACATTGCTTTTTCGAGTATACAGTTGCTAGCTACGTTTCAGTGATCGCCGATCGAGATTTCTTTTATTTTGCATTACATATTTGGATAAAGAAAAGTTAAGCAAATTCAACATCGATTTGATGCTGATAGAAATCTGGATCAATTTGTGATCAACTCGGTTCGTTTTGTTTCCTAATTAAGTGAGAAAATTTTAATTGACAGCACCGACAAATGAATATATACACAAACAAATTTTCGGTTATGGTTAAAACAATACAAGTTTTTGTATTGAATTTTTGGTTTAAAATTTATTTATTTCCTTTTCAGTAGGGTTTTTGCACATTATCTCCTGCGTGAGAATTGATCGTAATATATACGCATCTAAATAAGAGACTGGAACACGGCTGTTTGTCAAAAGCATACGATTTCGAACTCGCGTAAATGTACATTTGCTAAATGCTATAGCATGAACGCTCTTCGAAAACATATGTTCGAAAGTGCTAAATGTTGCATTTTTAATGCAGCAAAAACGCTGCATAAGTCGAAACTAACAAAGTTGCAACTTAAATTTAAGTACCAACTTAAAATTTACCTCTATTCATAGTCGCATTTCAGACTTCTACTAAGTAGTTTCGACTTAGTTTACAATATAGCAAAATGAGTGTGAAAATGTATCGATTTTTCTTTACGATATTTTGGAAAAATTACATTTTTATTAAATAATGTTTGATCATCCGTTTATGTAATTTTTATTTTCATTGCATGATTATGCAAAATAATATGTTAATTGTGTGAAATAGCCAGAACAACCGCAGTGATGTGAAGTTGATGTTTATCGAAAGCATGCTGTGAAACATACAAATAGTAGATATCTAAATGTTATGCACAAATTTACTTTAAAAGAACTAGCGTGAAACTGACTTATTATTTGAGAATTTATCTAAATTATTTCAATTATAAATTTGTGATTTAGCTTTATTCGAATTGTAATACGCATTTAATTTCATCTTCCGAATAAAATGGATCGATCTTTGTAAATTTTAATTGGAGATTATTCAATATTATCAAAATCACCCTCTACCAACTTAATTTTTACATATTTCGTCTGTTTTCCCTTAATTTGATAAAATACTTCTTCCTAGTTACGACTTAGTTGCAGCTGCAGCCGAAACTAAATTTTAAGTTGGTACTTAGGCCCGGTTGTTCAATGTCTGGTTATCACTACCACTACACTATCGACGATTTCGACATCATGCATGTAACATGTGATCGATAAAGCAGTAGTTGTGCTTAACCGGAGCTTCTACCTCCGCTTTGTGCTAATCAGACATTGAACAACCGGCCCTTAGCCAGAAAAGTCGAAACTAAAGGTATTGGCCCAATGCTCGCTTGCTTTGCTTACTTTAGTTTGCTTTGCTTTACTTTGAAGGCTTTTATGGCCTAATGGTAGCTTTGAACGCTGTCATAGTAGTCAGCTGATTTTTAATGCGCGCAAATATACCCGCCATTCTTTGTTGTGCCAGCAGGTATAATTGTGAATTTTAGTTAAAATATATGTTATTAAACAATTATTTGTTACTGAGATCATTATTTTTTACGGTTTTGGTGAAGCTGCATTTGGCTGTGCCACTCACCACCCGTGTTTATAAGGCGTAATATTCAACTGGACGTAAAAGAGTTTATATTAAACAATTCTTTGTTGTTAACAACAATATTTCTTACAGATACCTTGCTTTTATATCGTTCCGGCAACCAGATTCGTTGGTTTTCGATAAGTTGCAGTTGGCTGTGCCACTTCCACCCGTGTTTATAAGGTGTAATATTCAATTAGGTAAAAGAGTTTATATTAAACAATTCTTTGTTGCTAACAACAATATTTTTTACAGATACCTTGCTTTTTTATCGTTCCGACCACTAGATACGTTGGTTTTCATAAATTTTCATTTGGCAGTACAAAATGTTGACTCGAAATGCTGAACAAGTTTTAAAATTTTCCTAATTTTAGCGAAAATGCGTAAATTAAAACTGCGATTAAAAAAGAAGCGCCGATTTTGGGTTCGGTAATTGTACTTAGAGCGACACAAATATGGATTGTTTGAAAGTTCATTAAGAAACTTGGCTGCAGATGAGGAGCAGTTTAACAAGACATTAAGAATGCCCTTTTCGTTATTTAATGTGCTGCACGAATTTCTGGAGGCTTCGCTGACCAAATATTCAATCAGAACACCAATATCGAGTCGCTGCAGACTATTTATAACCCTGATGTAAGAGAACATCGGTTTTACTTAATAGTATACGTATAATTTTCCATATATGTATCTGGTTTTATTTTTTTGTTGCAGATATTTGGCTCACGGTGGCACTCGGCAATTCCACACAATAGTTCACAGGATCGGCCTGACGACTTTCAGGAAGATTACGTTGGAGACATGTATGACCATATGGGATCTGTTAGCTGACCTGTATGTGGCGACCCCGTCAGAAACGGAATGGGGACGTATTTCCAATGAGTTCAAGTCGCTGTGGAATATGCCCAACTGCGTTGGTTCCATCGACGGAAAGCACATTAATATTACCTGTCCAGCGAATTCAGGGTCGATGTACTATAATTACAAAGGCAATTATAGTATCGTGCTTTTGGCCGTATGTGATGCCAATTATACCTTTACCTGCGTTGACATCGGAGCATATGGAAGTCAAAGCGATGGCGGTGTCTACCACTTTTCAAAACTGGCAGATGCTATTGAAAATGATAGGCTCGGCCTTCCACATGATCAGCCTCTGCCAGGAGAAACCGAGCCATTTCCACATTATTTAGTAGGAGATGCTGCTTTTCCCTTACGGCGTTATTTAATGCGACCATATCCGGGTAGAGGTATTCCAGAAGAGCAAGAGTATTTCAATAAAAGACTCTCTCGTGCAAGAAGAGTTATAGAAAACGCATTTGGAATACTCACTGCCAAATGGAGAATATTGAGAACGACGCTATGCATGGCCCCGAAAACTGCAGAACAAATAGTGAAAGCTTGTATTGTTTTGCATAATTTTATTAAGCTTTCGTGTGCAAACTATGTAGCAAGCGATTTTGTTGATCGCTACGAAGAGGATGCCACCATCGCTGGCTCATGGCGAAACGAAGTAGTTCCATTGCCCTCAATAAGTAGGGTGTCATCGAACCGAGGCAGTTCAAATAATTATGATTTAAGGGATGCTCTGAAGACACATCTTTTTAACAATAAAATTTAAATAATTACNCATCGGTTTTACTTAATAGTATACGTATAATTTTCCATATATGTATCTAGTTTTCTTGTTTTGTTGCAGATATTTGGCTCACGGTGGCACTCGGCAATTCCACACAATAGTTCACAGGATCGGCCTGACGACTTTCAGGAAGATTACGTTGGAGACATGTATGACCATATGGGATCTGTTAGCTGACCTGTATGTGGCGACCCCGTCAGAAACGGAATGGGGACGTATTTCCAATGAGTTCAAGTCGCTGTGGAATATGCCCAACTGCGTTGGTTCCATCGACGGAAAGCACATTAATATTACCTGTCCAGCGAATTCAGGGTCGATGTACTATAATTACAAAGGCAATTATAGTATCGTGCTTTTGGCCGTATGTGATGCCAATTATACCTTTACCTGCGTTGACATCGGAGCATATGGAAGTCAAAGCGATGGCGGTGTCTACCACTTTTCAAAACTGGCAGATGCTATTGAAAATGATAGGCTCGGCCTTCCACATGATCAGCCTCTGCCAGGAGAAACCGAGCCATTTCCACATTATTTAGTAGGAGATGCTGCTTTTCCCTTACGGCGTTATTTAATGCGACCATATCCGGGTAGAGGTATTCCAGAAGAGCAAGAGTATTTCAATAAAAGACTCTCTCGTGCAAGAAGAGTTATAGAAAACGCATTTGGAATACTCACTGCCAAATGGAGAATATTGAGAACGACGCTATGCATGGCCCCGAAAAATGCAGAACAAATAGTGAAAGCTTGTATTGTCTTGCATAATTTTATTAAGCTTTCGTGTGCAAACTATGTAGCAAGCGATTTTGTTGATCGCTACGAAGAGGATGCCACCATCGCTGGCTCATGGCGAAACGAAGTAGTTCCATTGCCCTCAATAAGTAGGGTGTCATCGAACCGAGGCAGTTCAAATAATTATGATTTAAGGGATGCTCTGAAGACACATCTTTTTAACAATAAAATTTAAATAATTACTACTCACTGAATATGCTTTGTTTTTATTATTTAAGATAGAAAACAAAAATTTGAACTCACAGTATGAGGGCACTTATTGGCAATGTTTTAAATGTCATCACATCTTTCAGGTTTTTAAATTAATTTTTGTTCAAGGTTAGTATGGCGTTAACATAACATATATTTCATTCAGTCTTTTATGTTAAAACCGTTTTAAACAGTATAGTGGTTACAAACAATATGCCTTTCAGTCTTTTAATTATTATTTTTTCTTTTTAAGGTACATACAGTGGTCAAACAAAATATAGCCCCACTATATTTGACAAGTTTTAACATATTATTATTTTTTAATTTTGATTACTTTTTTATAAAACGAGGTTTTTTACACGGGCTTTGTTAAAGAATTAACTATATTTTTATAAAAAAGTTACTAAAATTAAAAAAGAATCTTAAAACTTGTCAAATATGGTGCGACTATAATTTTTTCGACCACTGTAAATATGGCGTATTTATAAAACAAAAGTGAATTACAAACAATATACTTCTTAGTCTTTTAAGTAATATGTTTCTTTTTAAGGTACTTAAGTATTGCCTATTTATAAAACAAAAGTTGTTACAAACAGTCTACTTTTTAGTCTTTTAAATAATAGGGCTGTTCAGGATCTTGTCCATAGGATCTTGCATTTACATATTTCAGTGCATTTGTAAATTCACAACAAAATACAAACAGCTACCATGATAGCAAGCATAAAATTTGCACAATATCCTGAATGTGTTTCTTTTCAAGGCCGTAATTGGCATGAATATTTCACAAGTCATTAAAATTATCTTTTGTTCAAGGTAAGTATTAAACTTACAGTTATGTGCAAAACAAAAAACACAGCGTCGTTTTTGCTATAATTTCATTGTTTCTAATCAAACAAAATTGTACATTTTTTAAGAAAATATCCAGGTTATTCATTTAAATGCCTCGTAACCGCGTAAGCCTCGTAAACTTGCATCGAAAACCACGCGTTTGGAATAATATCCTGAATATTTTCTTAAAAATATGTTCAATTTTGTTTGATTAGAAACAACGAAGCTATCGCAAGCATTTTCTGTGAGATTGCATATTAAATTCGATTACATATTTAGCTCGCAAAATTAAAATCAGATTTCATATTAAATTAGATTACATATTAAGTTCTCAAAATTGAAATCAAACTGGATGTCATTTAAATTTTTAAATTTCGTAAATTCAATTTTTATAATTTTTATATTGAGCATAGACGTATTGAAGTACGTCCATTTGAAAATCTAGGCGGCTCTCTTCTGGGACCTTCTCAAACACTTCGCCAATCGCACCCAAGAAATTGTTGTGTGTTTTTTTTNGTCTAGGCGGCTCTCTTCTGGGACCTTCTCAAACACTTCGCCAATCACACCCAAGAAATTGTTGTGTGTGTTTTTTTTTT